GTAACCATTTTAATAGGAAAGAAGATTTTATTTGGTCCCACCTGGACATTCCGTCTCTAGGGGTGTGCCAGTAACTTCGTCTCCATAACCTCCACCATATATTCCACGTCTTGTTCGATTAGAAGTCATTTTTCCATATTCTAATTCCATCAAAGCTTCCTGATTTGATCGCTACAAAAAAAATGAAATGAAATGAAGAAACGAATGATAGGGAGAAGGCGTGGAGGTTATATTTCAAAAAACTTGAATTCTTAGTAGGCAGCTTTTCTAGATTGCAACTTTAAGACAACTTTTTGCTAAAAAAGCTATCTATTTTCGGTTCGCATGATTATAGCGGAAAATAAGAAGTCCACTGCGTTGGAGGAACAAACTTGCAAACACATTTTAAGAGAATTAGAGCGCTAGTAATTCATTATAATTTATTAGTGATTGAGCTTTTGCTATATTTGTTCTATTTGAGCAAGTTTTAGGAAAGGTGAATTGAAGAAGTTGATAAACTTGGCGATTTTCAGTGAACTTTCAATCTCTGAAATAGCTTGTTCTCAAAATCCGTGAACTAATTTGTGAATCACTAGGATAACGTTTTCATAAGGTTGTATATCGTTCAACTGTTTGTCAAATCAACTGATACATACTGCAACAGTTGAAAATGCAAAGCAATAGGTTTTTTTTTGCATTTTTCCCGTGAAACCTTTAAGTAGTAGTTTTTATTATTCTTTGAATTTCGAATAATTTTCACGTGATGAAAGGATTACCTCACAGAATGCCATCTCCTGATCTACATATTGGATTGTTGACTGCACATTATTATACATTAGCGGAAGGGTTAAGCAGAGAATCGTCACAGAGAAGACACTAAATATGGATCCATAAGCTCATTCATACAGAAATGAGGTTGATAGCTTCTGGGATGATATGTCTTTTTGCTCACCTAAAGACAATCTGTAGAGCGGTAACGAACTGGTAAATCCTCTTTCGTGGGTTCGTCATTTTGAGCGATGACAGCGGAGAGCTAAAAATTTTTGTTGACTACTTCTTCCTTTTTTTGACTCAAGCATAAAAACCCTCTTTCTGTATTATCACACCTCAAATTTTGCTTCAGAAAAGATTCATTCATTCCTCCTATGAAGTCTTGACTCATTTTAGGTAAGTCTGGTTTCCAAATAGATTTATAATGATTATTTCACGAATCTACTGATACTTTGCTTCTTTACTCTCACTAGCCGAAGTGCGTTGAATAATATGTTGAATGCTGACAACAGATACAATAAAATTTAGGAAAGTTTTTCAATTTCCTTCAAATTCTAATGCTTTTTCCCTGAGCAGTTGGAGCCATCATTCCCTGCATATCTTGATGTTTACATAGGGTGAATTAATATATTCAGATTTTTAAAAGAACTTTTCGATGCTGCAATAACTTTGCACGAAAATCAATTTTAAACAGAAATTTCCATTGTACTTAGATTCGACTAAGAAATAATACCAAATAGCAGATTTTTATTAGAGAATTATTACAGTTTTACTTACCCGTCGTTTTCTGCCGTTGACATTGTTTTTGGGCCACCACCAGTGTCTTTTAATGGG